TTTTTATTTGCAAAAACCACAAAGTTACAAAACCTTAGTTCCCGACACAGTATAGTATCAGTACCTTCCTATCTATGTGTTTTAGGAACAGAGAATACAGCATAACCCGTCTAGCAAAAGCGAAGGATATGCAGCCCGGCACACAAGCTGCTCCTCCCAGAGGGTCGGGACTGAATGTTCGAGAGCATCTCCAGGAAGGCCTGCGGGGATGGTGCCTCCACATTCTGGAAGGTGTTCTGGACTCTGCCAAACAGGATGAAGTATTTCGTCTCCAGACCGATGAAGCCCAAGTGGTTCTCATCAAACAGGATGAAGACTCCAGGGAAGCGCCTGTGGTAGGCGAAGGGCTCTAAGGTACCAATGTAAACGCCATAGAAACACATCCTGCAGGTTCGGGGGTAGTTCTGGAGTCTTGAGCGCACGCCCACAGGCAGAACAAACGGAACAGGCTGCTCCTCCGAAGCTGCAGCCCCAGACTCCCCGACGCTGGGCTGGGCAGGGCTCTGCCAGCCATGGCCCTCGCTTTTCTCAGTCCAGTTTTCTTGCTGCTGCTGCTGCTGCTGCTGCTCCCGCTCCCAGATCACCTGCTCATCAATCTCGTGGACCATGCGGGAGAGCTGCTTGAAGTTGCGGAAGATCTTGCCATCCAGCAGCTGGATGCGGCGCATGAGGTGGATCTCTAACGTCCCGATGAAGTCTCCCGTGATCTTCGTGACCCTGGCATACTTCCCATGGAAGCTGAGCATGGCAATCATTAGGCCGAAGGCATCGTATTTGCCGTGGAAGAGGCCTGGCCTGATGAGGTCGTCCGGGTGGCTCCGCGGGAGGTAGACGCGGCGGTAGGTCTGGCAGTCATACCGCTGGCTGTGCTCCTGCACCAGCACCATGCAGCGGTAGGTCAGCCAGTCATACAGCAGTCTGTCCTCCTGCACCAGCACCCGCCCCCGTTCTCTCCTAAGCCGCGTTGGTGAATCCTTTCGGTGGTCTCTCTTGATCCACTGGATGCTGAACCTGTCCTTCTGAATCTGCATGAGGTGGCTGTGGGAAAAGCTGTATAAGTTGTCCATGTACTCCACCGTGGTTGATTTCCTCTCCGTCAGGCGAATTCTAAACGAGGGCTCGAATTGCATTGGGCCATCCACATGGGTGTTAAGGGAAGGCCTGTACGTCCAACCAGTAATGCATAAGCCATCCACCATTACATTCAGCAGTCCTCTATAGCTATAATCTAGCTGCTACAAACCCAAAATGTGTCTGTATGAGAACAGCTTCGCATAGACTTCTCGATAAGACATACCAATCATCTCCAGGTTCTCTGCAAGTTTTCACAAACGCCATACTCCTCCCGGCAGCGCCTTTTCCAGATGCTGTCGATATGCAGGATGTGGTGGAATTTGGTGCAGGTCTGGGCCAGGCTTGGCAGGTTGGTGTGGGGGAGCAAGGCGAAGATCTCCACCAGCATCTCCACTGGCAGGTCCTGCAGCTAGCAGTGAGGGGGCGGCATGGGGCTGCGATTCCTCCACTCCCCGCCCAGCACCGTGCTGCCGCGTCCGCCTTGAGGTGCTTTTCTGCCGGGGCCAGCTTGCCGTCGGCCGCTGCCTTCTCAGCTGGGCGCTGGTGCTTCTGAGGACACCGCTTGCCCTCAGCTGCTGCTGTCTCAGCTGGGCCCTGGCACTCCTGACAACACCAACATCCCCGTGAAGAGCCCAAGCCGCAGAGGCAAGCGCACTCCTCCATGCCTCCAAGTGTAACAGCCACCACAGCGTGGGCCGCGCCTCAGCAGAGTTTTAAGCTGGCTGGGTCCGCCCTAGAGTCCAGGGCCTAGCCACACCCCCTCAGAGAGCAGCCAATTGTAGGACTTTAAACCCATACCCATTAACAGTCGCCTCCCTTTCCCAGTGCCCCCTCCCTGTCCTCCCACCCTAGCCCCAGGCAGTCACTAATCTGCTTTCTGTAGGGATATGCCTCCAGGGATATGCCTATGGGGGGGAAGACATTTCACAGAAATGCAGTCAAAAAAATAAACTGTGGTACATCTACACAATGGAATACTACGCTGCGGTAAAAAATAAGGAATTCTTGCCATTTGCAACAGCATGGATGGAACTGGAGAGCATTATGCTAAGTGAAATTAGCCAGTCAGAGAAAGATAAATACCACATGATCTCACTCATTTGTGGAATATAGAGAACAACATAGACTGATGAACAGGGACAGATCCAAAGACAGAGAAACAGCGATCAGACTATCAATCCCCAGAGGGAAAGTAGGGGAGGGTGGGGGTAAGGGGAAGAGATCAACCAAAGGACTTGTATGCATGCATATAAGCCAAACCAATGGACATGGACAACACAGGGATGAGAACATGAGTGGGGGGGGAGGAGGTTGGGGGTTAATGGGGGGATGAGGACACATTTGTAATACCTTAACCAATAAAGAAATTAAATATTAAAATAAAATAAAATAAACAACATTCATGAGAATGTTTAAAAATTGGACCCCTCGTACATTGCTGGTGGAAATGTAAAATAGCGGGGCCACGTTGGAAAACGAGAGTCACCAGATGGCCCAGAAGTTCCACTTCTAGGTACATACCCAAAAAAAATGGAAACATGCTCACACAAAAAAACTTGTACACAATGGTCATAGCAGCGTTATTCATAAGAGCCTCAAACCGGAAACAACCCAAATACTCATCAACTGATGAATGGGTAAACAAAATGTGGTATATCCATATTACAAACTTTAAAAGTTTATCCCTTTGACTCTGTTTTTTTCCTTCTCAAAATCTAGCCTAAGGCCAAAACCGGTTTGGCTCAGTGGATAGAGCGTCGGCCTGCAGACTGAAAGGTCCCATGTTCGATTCTGGTCAAGGGTGTGTACCTGGGTTGCGGGCACATCCCCAGTAGGAGATGTGCAGGAGGCAGCTGATCGATGTTTCTCTCTCATCGATGTTTCTGACTCTCTATCTCTCTCCCTTCCTCTCTGTAAAAAATCAATAAAATATATTAAAAAAAATCTAGCCTAAGAAAATTGTCATAAATTATAGATATTTGTATTTCACAATATTATTTGTGGTAGCAAAATGGGATATATTATTAGTATATAGTAAAAGAATGATTAGATAAAATATAATGCAGGAAATAATTTTTCTTTTTAAACATCATTTGACATGAAAAATGCTGTAATTCAAAGAAAAATTTTAAAACAAAGTGTAAATTATTTCTGCAATGTGACCCAAATTATAAATTTAAATATGTGTATAAGTAGAAAAAAGG